AAAAAAAAAAAAAAAAGTCCCACCTCTTTGGAGCCCAGTGAGAGACACAGCTTCTGGCAGGTACTGATGAGATGTAAGTCATACGTGCCCTCAGGAGACAAAGCTTTTCACTACTTGGGCCTCCTGTGGATGTTAAGTTCTGTGCTGACCTCCCCAGAGTGCAGGACAGCTGGCTGCAGCCAGCTTTGGGCCTCCTTAGGCTTCCTGGCTCCGGGCAGCTTGCTCCTGTACAGACTGCCACAGGGCTCTGATGTTGCCCTGACCAAAGCCAGTGGCTCCCTGCCTCTGAATCAGCTCCAGGAAGAAAGTGTCCTCAGTAAAAAGAGACTTGGTGAAGACCTGAAGCAGAAACTTGCCTTTATCACCATCTAGCAGGATGCCCTGCCGGGCAAGCAGATGAGGCTGGTGCCCTGCAGCTCGGATCTGCCTCTCTTTTCCTGGCTGCTGGTAGTATGCGCCAGGGGGAGTCAGGAACTGGCCTCCAGCAGTTGCCACCCCTTCAGTGGCCTCCACGATGTTAGGCGTATACAGCCCCACGTGCTGCAGCCCTGGCCCCTTGTGCCGGGCCAGGAACTGCTCCACCTGGTCCTGTCCTGCCCTGGCCCTTGGCAGGGGCTCAGCCAGCACGAGAGTAGGGACAACGCTTCCCGCCTGGGCCTGCAGGGCTGTGAGCCTCAGTCCCCCGAGCCCAAACCCTGCTGCTATTTCGAGGCCCAACTCGGGATCCTCACCTGGGCTCAGCGGCAAGTGGCAAAAGCCCAGGCAGTCGTGGAACCAGCGCAGAAGTGTGGGAGAGCTGCCGGGGGTGCAGGCCAAGGTCAGGTGGTCCACGTGGCTGACCCACCCGGGGCCAGACGCAGAGAGCACTGGCCTGAAGCCGGGCAGGAAGGGTCCGCGGTAGCCGGCGCGCTCCAGCAAGGTCAGGCTGAGGTTGCCGGCGGGTGAGTTGACCACGGCGTAGGTAGCGGCACCCTGCACGTCCCGCACGCGAACCGGAGGGACAGGCACGCTGCAGCCCAGCGCTGCCAGCTCCTGGGCTGCGGCGCCGGCGTCCGCCACGTCGAAGCACAGGTTCGTGGCGCTGGGCACGGCGTGACGCGAGTCCAGGCCGTACAGTGGCTCTCCTGGCCCTGCGCCCTCGTTCACCAAAAAGACCGCGTCGCCGCTGCGCAGGGCCAGCTGACGCCAGCCGCCCGCCTCCCGCGAAGCCAAGGGCTGGAAGCTGAAGAGGCGCTGTAGGTCCCGGGCGAGGGGCTGCCCCGCGGGCACGTGGAAGGTGATATGGCACAAACGAAGGGCGGGCGCGGCCATGGCGCTCGGGATGGCGACCTGGATTTGTCCTTTTGGGACCGCTACTTGTGGTTGGGGACTTCGGGGCTCTCAGTCCTGGGCTGATCCTTGGAATTTTGCGGAGTCCAGTTTTTCCTGCAGAGCACGTTCCTCGCCTTCTTCCGGAAAGAAGTCACCGGCCGACCCTTGAGAGCTCGCGGTTCTCCCTGCAGCGCCACCCCAGCCAGGAGCAGCCTCGGGACCACCAGGTCTCACTGAGCTGAATTGCGGGTTGTGAGAACCACGCGGAGCCGCTGCACCAGCCGAGCCGGAGAAAGAGGGCGGAGCCCGTGACTCCGCCTTTGACTCCCCACCCTCTCGCCCACACCGTGTCGCCTAGGATACTACGGGGTCGCCGCGCTGCTCCTTCCCAGGGCCTCAGGTCCGGTCACGTCCTTGGGCACTAAGCCTCCTTTCCCCAGCCCGGGCACTCACAATGGCTGCCTTCACTCGGCGCCAGACGCTGGGCTCCCACTCATCTCCCCAACCTCACAGTGAAGGGACTCAGCCCGGGTTCAGAGAGGAGTTGGAATTCGCTCTCCACATGTTTTGAGACAGGGTCTCACTCTGTCACCCAGTGGCACAATCACAGCTCACTGCAGCCTCGGTCTCCTGAGTTCAGGCCATTTTCCTGCCTCATCAGCACACAAATAGCTGGGACCGCATGCCCACGCCACCACACCCCAGCTAATTAAAAATAATTTTTTGGCTGTTCGCGGTGGCTGACACCTGTAATCCTAGGGAGGTGTAAACTTTGGGAGGCCCAGGTGGGCAGATCACAGGGTCAGAAGTTCGAGACCAGCCGGCCAGCATGGTGAAACCCTGTCTCTGCTAAAAATACAAAAATTAGCCGGGCGTAGTGACAGGCACCTGTAATTCCAGCTACTAGGGAGCCTGAGGCAGAAGAATCGCTTGAACTCGGTGTAAGGTCTGACCACACCGTGGACAGCATGGCGACCCCCATGAACCACATGTACACCTCTGGAGGCTTTCCGGAATTAGAAAACCTGAAGTAGCTGGAAGGAAGAACGACTAACCCCTGTGGAGCCTACTTTAAGATATTCTCTGTTGTTCCTTATTCCTGCCCCAATTGATAAGGCCATTGGACTTTGTAACCTCATGACTCCACACCTGAGGACCCCCTCCCAGCTTGCAAACCTGCTACTCCCACCTAGCTTGCAAAGAACCACCCTAAACTTAACTTTTGTAACTTTCCACTAAAACCCCCGCAAGCTATAAAACCAACTCCTGGCTGGGCATGGTGGCTCACGCCAGTAATCTCAGCACTTTGGGAGGCTGAGGCAGGAGGATCATCTGAGGTCAGCAGTTCGGGACCAGCCTGACCAACATAGTGAAAACCCGTCTCTACTAAAAATACGAAAAATTAGCTGGGCATGGTGGCAGGCGCCTATAATCCCAGCTACTTGGGAGGCTAAGGCAGGAGAATCACTTGAACCTGGGAGGTGGAGGTTGCAGTGAGCCGAGATTGTGCCATTGCACTCCAGCCTGGGCGAGACTCCGTCTCAAAAAAAATAATAATAGGGCCGGGCGCAGTGGCTCAAGCCTGTAATCCCAGCACTTTGGGAGGCCGAGGCGGGTGGATCACGAGGTCAAGAGATCGAGACCATCCTGGTCAACATGGTGAAACCCCGTCTCTA